GTACTGCAAACTTACAATAAATTTCACAAAAGTAAAGCCTGCGACATTAATGAAACCAGTTAGACCACAAGAACTAACCGCTCGCTCGCTCCAACATCGACTTGGATTGTTTCAACCGAATAATGACATGCCAAGGAGAGCGGCACGCCACAAAATATTGAAAAACGCCTCCGCGTAATTCACAAAGGGACGTGGAGGAGGAGACAGCAACCAATGGGCCACGCATTAAAAAGAACGCGAAGCGGTCGTCTGATTTCGGTGGGGGGAGGGAGGGGCGGGGAGGGGAAGGGGTAGAAGGTCGCGGCAGACTTGGTGCGCACCCAACCTAGGCAGTATTTGTTTCCGAGGAGGAGCGGGTAAAGCGTGAGAAAGGGATCATAGAGATGACGGCTGAAACAAAATTAATTGCGCAGTTCCCCGATTTGCCCTATCTTCGCTCTCTCCTCCGCTGCTGGTCCTGCGAAATTCGAATCACAAAGGGGCGAGCCAAGTTGCAGCCATGTGTATCAGATGGTTAATGTCGGTTAGATCAGAGCGCAGAAGATAGGGGAACAAAGGTACCAATTGGAGGACATAACAGACCGCCTGCCAACTAGGTACAAGAAGGCACGCAAAAGTCCGGAGAGGAAAGCAGGGACTTGTGGGAGTCGTACTATCAAAGTCCTGATAACCATTCCGACAAGTGTGTGGGTAGAATTAAGAAGCGTGAGATCCCTCTGATAAAGACACAGTGTCCTCCACACACACAGTTAATGATAACTAAACACTACGAAATCAACATTTACAATGCAACAAGGTGATACGCCTTAGCCACCAGGCAAAGCAAGTTCAGAAAATGGAGTCCGATTAGACGATTATGGTGTGTATAGTAGTAGCTGGTAACCATGTGAACAACGGAAATTCGAATCAAAAATTTACAAAACCAACATCGAGGACGGATTGGGATACCAAATCGGTCACATGTATCGAAATTTATAGTAGAGCGACTTGATTCAATTAACTGGCGGTGTTATTTCCGGCTGAAGAAGTTTGGAATTCTCCACATCTCTTCTCCTACGAGACTCCCGTCCGACCTACAAAATGATTGTTTACCCTCTTCCGTAGGCTGCCCCTCCCCCCCCCTGGAATGCTGACTGCCCATGACTGACTCAAATGCACATGATGAATACTGCCCTCCCCCGGTCTCGGCCCTTTGTTGACACTTTCACATTGCAAAACTCCACATTCACATTGCGACCACCCTGACGGCGGTGTCGACCCAGTTGTCTGTTC